GTCCTGCACCATGTCAGCCCCTCCACCATCCACTAACCCCACATTTCCCTCACTTAACACTGTATTTGCCGAGGTATCGAGTTCGAAGATCGACAAACTGACAGTTATGACTGTTACTGACGCCTGTCAATCAAATTGTGACGGTTAAGCTAAATATAGTGAAGCTGTTATGGCGATTTAAACTGTTCGTCGGGTTAGTTCCGCAACATTTACGTGAGGCGACTTTTCCCTTCAGACTGAGTTACAAGTTTTTGGCTATAAACAGGTCGATTTCCGGTGGTTAGTTTAAGGAAAAGTCGTCGGCTAAATCCCGGATCCTGTGAGAAAACAAGCCGACTAGCTGTGACTAGGCTCTGCCATTCAATTTTTTTCTCTTCGTCGCCTAAATACCTTCGCTGGAAACCACGGGGAAACGACAAATATGACTGGATTACTTTCAGACTAGCGAGTTTACATAAAGCGGACGAGAACATACGGGTTTAATGACGCGAAATCGGTGTTTGAATGTGGTGTGGAAATATATATGTGTACTTACATGCTCCTATATGACTGCTTCAGCTCAGCATTCGACTAGGTTGCAAAGGCATAGGACGAAATAACAAGCTGTTGAGCTGAGGTTTTGTTTCTCGGATCCCTATTGGCTGCCGGGGCCACTGTGGGCAAATTCCGAGCATTGCGATTGGCTGCCCGCTAAGCAAAATTCTATTGGCTAAACTGAAGCGCGTAACCTGATTGCCGAGTACGAAAGCGGCGCTGCGAATTACGCTTTCTCATTGGTGTTCTTTGATTCTCACTCTTTGCAAATACAACAGATCCACGCTGATCTCCGATTGGCTACATGTTTCCTGTGCTGCGTTGTCCACGGTTTTGATTGGTCGAATTGACTCGGAAGCGTCCCGACTGCGAAGCCCATTGGCTGAAAGGATGTATGGGAACGGAGCTTCATTTCAGAGGGAAAGCTTCTGCTCATTCTGCGCATGCCGAGGAGAAGAGAGAGCGTTCGCCATTTTGTACCCAACGTAATTATTTTCGCATTCTGGACTCGGAGCCCGTGAGATTTCGCGGTGAGCGCTGTGACTTCTTTTGTCTGCTTTTCTAGTCAGACCGAATAACCTCAGCGTCGTTCTAGCGTAAATGTGTTCTTTATGTGATTCGTATTACAATTGTTTTACCAATAAATAATTTTAAGCGCGGCCGTGAAGAAAAGGTCAATTGAAGGCAACGGTAATGGCGTCTTTATGTCGTTGCTGTGGAGAACGTCTGGCGTCATGGGTTTGTTAGCCACGTGACCGGAACAGCGCGCCAAAGTAAGCATGTGTGACAAGATGCTTATACAATACCACCTGCGGGGTTTCAAATGATTATGCATGATTAGATTGTTACTGAAAT